TCTTGGATAAGCCCCCATGACAGCACCTTGCTCATGCCTCTGAGTTTCACTGTCACTCATACTGTCCGGTCTGCTGCTCCAGGCTGCCCCATGGTTCACTGTCATCTGGAATCTCTGTGCCGGCCGCTACGGGAAACAGAAAACAAGGGGGACATCATCCAGGAAGTGTGTGAGTGTAGGGGAGGTCCCGCAGTAGGGTGGCTGGGGGTGAATAAGACACGTCATGGCCATCATGGAGTTTGTAAGCAGATGCTTAAAATCATGGGTTAATGACCACTAGACGATGTACAGGAAAGCTTATGGGTTGTTTTAAATGTCGCGCACACCAACCTGTCACTCAAGATTATCTCTGAGTAGTGTGACAGCAGCAGTGTTGCTTCAGGCAGCTCTTTATTTTCTGGTCTTTGCTACAACCTTACATTTTTTTACGTGAAGAAAAGCATCAAGGTAATGACTAAAATAAACGTGACCTTGGAAGTCAGACAGCTCTGTGTTAAGTAATCCTATGGGCAGGTGTTTGGTGTAATGGTTAAGATAGAGCTTTAAGTGACCGAAACCCATAACTGAGTGCCCGGGTTCTTTAGTCCTGGATCTGCTCCGGATTCCAGACTCCTGCCCATGTGGGCTTTGGGAGGCTGCCAAGGTGGCTCAAGTATTTGGTCCCTGCCACTCATGTGGGAGATCTGAATTGAGCACCCAGTTCTTGGCTTTGGCCTGGCCCAAATCTGGCGTTTACAAGCATTTGAGGAATGAACCAGAAGCCTGGAGATCTCTCTCACACACACATAAATAAATCGAATAAGTTTTAAAAAGTGAGAAAGTACCAGCTCCATGGGGCACCAGTTGGTGAACCTAACTTTCCTCCTCTGTAACGTGGGGCTGCTCATGCATGCGTCCCTGGGTTTCAGGTTTACAAGAAGTCGTCACCCAAGGACCCACGTCATTCCACGGGCTGCTCTTTTTCTGTGCAAGGTGCCATTGTCTTCGAGAAGGCCCAGCTGGGCACCCTGGGACACTGGAGGCACAGCCACTTGCAGTCCCTCCCTGCTGAGCCTGGTGGCAGGAGACAAGGGTTACGCAGAAACCTGTCGCTGAGTGAAATCACAACTTGTGCAAACCCCTGGCTGGCCGGCTTCCTCATCTGAAGGATCTGGTTGTACCTGTGGGAGGCGTTGGGGGAGGGGCTCTCAGGCAGAACCGCAAGGCTGTGCTCATGGACTGCTTTTCTGACTGCCTCTCCTCTTGCTCTGACTCAGGAGATAGGTATTCTCTGCACTGCTTGGGAAACTTAGGCAGTTTATTTCTTAATTAAAAAAAATTTTAATAACAGCTTGAGGAGTTGGCATTGCAGCACAGAAGGTTAAGCCACCACTTGCAAAGCCAGCATCCCATATCAGAGGGTCAGGTTGAATCCTGTCTGCTTTACTTCTGATCCAGTTACCCTGCTAATGTGTCTGCGATGGCACTGGAAGATGGCCCAAGTGCTTCGGCCCCTGCATCCACCTGGGAGAGCCACATGGAGTCCCTGGCTCCAGCCTGGTTCCAGCCTAGCTGTTTCAGACATTTGAGGAGTGAACCAGCAGATGGAAGATTCTCTCTCTCTCTCTCTCTTTCTCTGCATCCCCCCCATCACTATAACTTCAAATAAACAAATGAATCTTTTTTAAAGAGAAGCTTGAGGGGCTGGCACTGTGGCGCAGTGGGTTAAAGCCCCAATCTGAAGCACTGGCATCCCATATGGGTGCCGGTTCGAGTCTCAGCTGCTCCTCTTCCGATCCAGCTCTCTACTATAGCCTGGGAAAGCAGTGGAAGATGGCCCAAGTCCTTGGGCCCCTGCTCCCATGTGGGAGACCTGGAAGAATCTCCTGGCCCCTGGCTTCAGATCAGCTCAGCTCTGGCCATTTGGGTCATTTGGGGAATGAACCAGCAGAATGAAGACCTCTCTCTCTCTGGCTCTACCTCTCTTTGTAACTCTGTCTTTCAAAATAAATAAAATAATTTTTTAAAAAAGGAAAAAAGCTTGAGATATGATATGCATACCATACAGTTCATGCATTTAAAGCATAAACTTTAGTGGTCTTTTAGTGTATTCAGACCTCTGTGACCATCACCACTATACATTTTAGAAAACTGTCACCCCTTCCCCAAAGAAACCCCTTACACATCAGCAGTCACTGCCCATTCCCTCCTCGCCCAGGCACCACCAGTCACCTGTCTGTCTCTGTCAAAATGCAGCCATTCTGGATACTTCATAAATGAAATCAAATACTATGAGGGCACTTTTTAAAAATGTTATTTGTTTGGGCTGGCACAGTGCCTCACTTGGCTAATCCTCGGCCTGCGGTGCCAGCACCCCGGGTTCTAGGTCCGGTCGGGGCACCAGATTCTGTCCAGTTGCTCCTCTTCCAGGCCAGCTCTCTGCTGTGGCCCGGGAGTGCAGTGGAGGATGGCCCAAGTGCTTGGGCCCTGCACCCGCATGGGAGACCAGGAGGAAGCACCTGGCTCCTGGCTTCAGATCGGCACAGCGTGCCAGCCGTAATGACCATCTGGGGGGTGAACCAATGGAAGGAAGACCTTTCTCTCTGTCTCTCTCTCTCTACTGTCTAACTCTACCTGTCAAAAAAAATGTTATTTGTTTGAAAGGCAGAGCAACAGAGAGAGAGGGAAAGATGGGGAAAGAGAGAGAGAGAGATCTTCCAGCTGCTGGTTCACTCTCCAAATGCTCGCAACAGCCAGGACTGGGTCAGGGAGAAGCCAAGAACTAGGAACTCCACTCAGGCCCCCCACAGGGGTGGTGGGGACCGAGGGACTTGGGCCATCCTCTGTTGTCTTCCCAGGTGCAGTAGTAGGGATCTGGATCAGAAGCGGAGCAGCTGAGACGCAAACCAGAGCTCCCACATGAGATACCAGCTGCACAAGCCATGGCTTAACCTGCTGTGCCACAATGTTGGCCTCCATAGGAGAGCACTTTGAAAAATTCTTGATAAAATAGCATTAAAAGACATGTTTATTTTGGTGCAAAAACAAGTTTTGGACCTGTGCATAGTTTTTTTCATGAAGTTTTGAAGATCGTTCATATGTGAGCTCCTGACTGGCCTCTTTTCACTATTCACTATCTATTCTCAAGTTCACCCATGTCATGGCAGGTGTCCGACTTCATTTCTTTCTGTTGATAAATAGTATCTATTCCATGGCATGGATACGCTAGTTATCCCTTCACTAGTTGCTGGACCCAAGACTGCTTTCTCACTTCACTATCTGATCTGTCATTCCAGCTGTGGTACTTTCATTCCCTACCACACACCAGGCAACTGACTCATTTCTAGTCCTTAAAAAACATCCACAGTGGGAGTCTGTTTCTCCCATTGTACAGTCAGAGAAACTGAGATGTTGTGGGGAGATGGCTCATCCAAGTCATAGTAGTAAATGACAGAGATGAGATTAAAAATGGTTCTTCCTGCCACAACCCCTTCCGATGTGCCTAACTCTTTCCAGTTGAGTCTGAGGCCAGAACAAGAAAGAAACTCCTCCTGCAATGCTCCTGAGTTCCACAAGCCTTAACTGGCACCAAGCAGATGGCAGGCACTCCTTAGTCACTGAGCCAGGCGAGACTCAGACCCCACCTCCTGGAGTTTGCTGCCCAGGCGAGGGAGGCAGGTGCCAGTTCTCAGGAAGGATGTGACCCAGTGCCAGGGACTTGGAGCCGCTGGAGGGCCCAGGGAAGGATTCCGGGAAGAGACCGCCTTCTGAGCGTGATTCCAGCAGGTGGGGCGGATTTCCTGCACAGAGATAGGGCCAGCTGCCCCTGCAGAGGGATCGGTGTACACACAGACCCAGAGATCAAGAACATCAAGGGTAGCTTGGGCTCCCCCTGCTGAGAGCCTTGAATGGCAGGCTGGAGTCTGGGTTGCAATGGGGGAGCCATCAAAAAGTTTTTGAGCAAGAAGATCATAAACATCTGTGAGAACTCTGGTGTCCCTCTTCAGTTTCCCTGGCCCCACAAATGCCACCCTCAGCATCCCATGGGAAGAAGGGAGAGCTGAGTTTCGGACCCTGGGCTTCTCCATGTCCCCAGCACCCAGTACAGTGCCTGAGGTTTTGTGGGTGCTCAATAAACATGCATAGGATGACTGGACGGATGCATGGATGATTCTGCCTGCCAGCCCCCTCGCTACTCCCCCACCTCCCTTCTCCTTTCCCAGGCCCTCTCCTGGCTAAGCAGAATAAGACAGCTGGTGCGTTCCAGATTCCCCCATCTCGCCCACCTGCCACCTCGCCCGCTGATCCCTCACCTTCTCCCTCCCTGCCACCCTTCTCCCCGCCGGGCGTGAGTAAGTGAAGGAGCAAGCACTCACGTGCTCCCACCACGTGCTGAGCACATGTCACCTTCTCACAGTCACCCTCAGGGAGAGCGATGATTAACTGCACTTTGCAGGTGAGGCGATTGTGACTCAGTGGTTACAGGACTCGCCCAGCTGCCGAGGGGGCAGAACTGAGACTTGACTCAGACTGGGACCTTCTGCTTCCTTTTGTGCTTCTAGCTAGGGCTGTGCAGTGGGCGTGGGGGACCCTGTTGAGGCTTAAGCATGTGGGGAGGAAGGGGGGGCTCTGAGTTCACATCCCAGGAGCAGGGCCAGGAAGGTGGAGCCTAGTCTGAGAGCTCCTGCCCTTTGGGTCCAGCGGCCACCCTCGCCAGAGTCCTCCACCCCCCTCCTGCCCTCACTCCCCCAGGGACACAGATGCACACACTCACAAATGCTCACACGTATGTTCACACACATACACATGTATGCTGACACACACATGAGCTTACATGCTCACGTCCATGCTTTCACAATGCCCACAGTCACACACATGCTCATTCTCATCCACGCATGCCCATACACTCACACATACTCCTCACACGTATGTTCAAGCATACACTCATGCTCACACACACAATCTCACAACATGCTCATACATGTGTTCACACACTCACAAAACACACAGAGCCCAGCTGCTTAACGGAGCAGGAACGGTAGCTGCCTTACTCACAGAGGCTTTATTTTTCTAGAAAAATTATCCCCTAGAAAAACTCTATACAATGCTCAAAGTAAATAACCATCAGCCACCTTGAAAAGAAAAATATCCCCAAGGGAGTTGATCAGAAATCCTCCCACCCAGCGGGCCAGCTGGTCCCCAAGTCCCTCGGGGTGGCCTGACTCTGTCCTGTCCTTCATAGCTCCAGAAAGAACCTCCAACTCCAGACCTCCTCTCATTCTACAGATGGAAAATATCATGCTCAGGGTCAGCCCAAGGCCCCCCAGCACCAGTGGCCGAGCAGGAACTCTTCCCAGGGCTTCCCATCCGCTGGTCTTTCCCCTGGACGCTCACTGTGAGTTCTGTAACCAAGGCTGTGCCATGGCGGACAAGCTGGGGCCGCTGGGCTGTGACAACCTCGGGCTGCCCCTGGAGGCCACCTGGCAGCAGAGGTTCCAGCACCTGCAGCCTAAAGAAGCAGGTGGCACACCTCCTTCTGCAGATCTCCTCGCAGGGGCCAAGGGTCACCAAGGCCACGGCCGGGGAGAAAACCTCCTGTTGGAAGCAAAGGGGAACTTCCCCGTGCTTTCGCTTTGGGTCTGTACTGCATCGACCCACTTGGCGACCAAGATTCTGTCCTTGCAATCAGAAGTCCTGGCGGTGGTTAGATATGTTTGGATTTTTTAAGAAAAAAACAACAGCGGCTTAATAGCAGTTTGGGCAGGTGCAGTCTTTGCACCGGGGATCCTCCGAGGTGGGGGAAAGACTGGTAACAGCATCCTTGGGGCTGATGAGGGAGGGCTTGGAACTACGCGGTGGCACAAGGGGCTTCTCTCCGAGCACGGCACTCCCGGTACACCAGGAAGGGGTGGACGAACGTCAGGAGAGTGACCAGCAGCAGCGCCATGTTCACCTGCGGGAGAGAGGAGGGCGTGAGGCCAGGTCCAGGAATGCTGAGTGACACCCACCACCTGTGAAGAGACCTGAGCCCTACCCCAGAATAGTCTATCTCCCCCCTCCACCACCACCAGCACCGCCACCAGGCGCTACGGTCCCCTGGAGGAAGGACTTTGGGTCATTTTCATACTGCCCTGTGGAGTCAGTTGGAGGAGGAATAGTATGACCATTTTACAGATGAAGAAACAGAGGCCCCCAGAGAACATTCAGTGGCCTGTTCAAGGTCACATGGGAAGCCAGCGGAGGCACTGGCTGGAATGCACATCTGAATATTAGGTTCGGTCACTGATAGAACTAATTCCCCCCAGTTTTTAAATTTATTCCTCCTTATTCTCCCTATGTCAGGTTTGAATTCCTCTTTTAGACTTTGATGATGGGTTTTTTAAAGATGTTTATTTATTTATTTCTCCTTTTTTTTAAAGATTTATTTGCAGAGTTACAGAGACAGAGAGAGGGAAAGCTCTTCCACCAACTGGTTCATTTCCCAAATGGGAACAACAGCTAGGGCTGGAGCTAGGTCAGTCCAAAGCCAAGAGCCTGGTATTTCATCTGGGTCTCCCACATTGGGTGCAGGGGCCCAAACACTTGAGCCATCTTCTGCTGCTTTTCCAGGTACATTAGCAGGGAGCTGGATCAGAAGTGGAGCGACCAGTACCTGAATGGGCACTCATATGGGATGCTGAACTCCCAGGCAGCGGCTTAAACCACTGGGCCAATGGGTTGGCCCCTACTTTTTTTTTTTCATCTACTTGAAAGCCACAGAGACAGAGAAATCTTTTATCCATCAGTTCACTTCCTAAATGCCCATGACCCAGAGCTAGGTCAGACCAAAGCCAGGAGTCAGGAATTCCATCTGGGCCTCCCACATGGGTGGCAGGGGTCCAAGCACTGAGGTCATCATCTGCTGCCTCCCACGAATGCATTAGCAGGAAGCTGAGTCAGAAGTGGAATGGCTGGGACTAGAACTGCTGCTCTGATAGGGGAATCGGGCAGGCCAACCAGCGGCTTAACCCACTGCGCCACAACACTAGTCCCTTAGTGATAGGTTTCAAATGCGGCCAAGAGAGCTGGGCAGTAGCAGAACGCTGCAGTCAGACTTGACAGACTTCTGCTCACAGCTGTGTGTATCTGAATCCCTAAGTCATACAACCTCTTGGAGCCGCAGCTTATACAAAAGGCTGGAGAGTGGTGTGCACCTGCTGGTGCCACGTCAGCATCCCTTCAGGTGTAGGGACCTGGAGGCAACAGCAAAGAGCACCTGCCACCTGGGCAGCGGTGGACACTAGCACCTGCTGCAGCCCGAGGAGAAAGCCCAGGCTTGGCTTGTGTTCCGGCAGGCAGGACTTTGCAGTCTTGAGTTTTCGCTTGCAATGTTGCTGGTATCATGCATCTTACTCCAGGACACATCTGTTCACACACACACACACACACACACACACACAGCTATGTTCCCCCCAGATTTCTGAATAGTGCAGGCTGCACCATGTGAACCCAGTGACTTCGAGTATCCCCAGCACACAAGCCGGGGTGCTCCCACTGACCCCAGTTTGAGAGGCAAGATCAGGGGTGTGCCTTGTGCAGCTCTTGCTGCAGGCACCACACCCAGGCCTCCTGAGCTGGCTTTGGGGTGCCCCCTGCTGGGGCATTGCTGTGTTACCCAGCCTGGTGTCCTTGCTGGTCCAAAGCCAGCATCCCCTGCTGGGGACAGGCAGGCCAGGACCTATCCTCTCCCTCCCCACAGTACTCACGTAGAACGGGTCATTCTGGAGGGGGCCTTTGATGAGGGTGAAGAGGGGGAACTGCAGCAGGGACACAACGGCCGACAAGGCCATCACGAGCCCAAACAGCTTCCCAAAGTGCTCCGAAGGGAAACTGGAAGAGAGAGAAACTGGGTTCCAGCGAGCTTTGGGGACTCTTGCTCCAAGACCACCCTTCACCCATCCACACCTGCACTGCCCTGCCCCCCACACCTGTGCTCAGGCATCAAACCACAGAATTCAGAGAAGGGACTGTGGTGGGCCCTGGGAAAACAGCAGGGCCCCAGATGCAGGCTGTGCCAGGGGAGGAGTCAGTGACAGGACAGACACAGAAGCAGCCCATTACATGCCAGATGCATGCCTGATCAAAGGTAGCAAGAAGAGAGTGCCGGGAGCACCACAAAGGGAGGATGTTTTCTTGCCGACTCCTCCGTGGATGATTGGAGCAGAAGTGGGCATTGTGGGGTGAATAGAAGTTCACCAGGCAGGTAACAGAGACACAGGGCACAGTTGAAGCAATGGCTCAAGAACATGAGTGTTTCAACCTTTCCATCAGGCTGCCCCTGTCCATCCATTGCGCCCTCCACACCTGCGCCCAAACCCGGTCATCCTCACCTGACCACCTCCTGGCCCACCCTCCCCTCACTACTTCTTTACCTCTGCATTGCTTCCCAGAGCCCCGTGTGCCCCACCCCTTCCCCGAGGGGGCACACCCCACCTGCAGCCCACTTACGCAATGGTGAGGAAGGCTGCATTGCCCCCGTACAGGAAGGAGCGACTGATCACTTGCAGGACGAAGGTGACGTATTGAAGGGGGAGGAAGGGGACCGAGGCGCAGAGGGCAAAGCCCAGGCACAGCAGGGACGTCAGCGCCAGCGAGGGCACGGCCGAGAAGAGGGCCACCGATGCGTCAGAGAAACCTGGTCCGAAAGGGAGCAAGAGAGGCTGCCTGTGGGAGAACCCAGCAGACGGCAACGAAGCATCGAGAAAAACCGGGGGAGGAGGGGAAGGGAGGAGCCACCCCACCCTCCTGGGATCCTCTTTCTCCCAGGTGTCCCCACGCCAGCCCATCAATCATGTCTATAATTCACCTCCTGAACACCATTCAGATGGGACCATTTCTCTCTTCCTCACCGACTCTTCCTGGTTTTATGCCCTTAACACACTCAGATGATTACAATGCCTGGAAATAATCCCAACAGCCAGCAGCAGGGAATGCGGCGTGAGCTGCACTGCAGCCATGCAGTAGAGAGCCAGGGAGCAGTTAAAAGGAAGGAAGAGAGCCCAGCATTGCGGTGCATTAAGCTTCCGCCTGCAACAGGGATGCTGCTTTGAGTCCTGGCTACGCTGCTTCTGATCCAGCTTCCTGGGAAAGCAGCGGAGGATGGCCCATGTACATGGGCCACTGCCACCCATGTGGGAGGCCAGAATAGAGTCCCAGTCTCCAGGTTTTGCGCTGGCCCAGCCCAGCCCAGCTCTGGCCTTTGTAGCTATCTGGGGAATGAACCAGGGGATGGAAGTGCTCTCTTTCTGTCTCTCTGCCTTTTAAATAAATCTTAAGAAAGAACCAGGACTGGTCCCCACGAGGGAGCAGGCTCAGGATACAGCCACACACATCAGTGTGTACAGTATGCTGCTTTTTATCTAAGAAAGAGGGAAATACAGGGCCAGTGCTGTAGCATAGTAGGTTAAGCCTCCACCTGCGTCATAAGGGTGCCAATTTGTGTCCCGGCTGCTTCCCTATTGATCCAGCTCTCTGCTATGGCCTGGGAAGGCAGTAGAAGATGGCCTAAGTGCTTGGGCCCCTGCACCTGCGTGTGAGACTTGGAAGAAGCTCTTGGCTCCTGATAGGCCCAGCTCCAGCCATTGTGGCCATTTGGGGAGTGAACCAGAGGATGGAAGATCACACTCAGCATCTCACCCTCTCTCTGTAACTCTGCCCCTCAAATAAATAAACTAATCTTTAAAAAAAGAAGTGGGAGGGAATAAATATATATGAGTACACTTCAAAAAGTTCACCGAAAGTGGAATTAAAAGGTAAGTTTAATTTCGGTGCAAAAAAAAATTGAAATCCATGCATGCAAAAGATCTTCAAGGTTCCCAAAAAGGCATATTACAGAAGAAACTATGCACGGATTTCAAAATTTTTTTGCACCAAAATAAGCATTTTTTTAATGTTTAATTTTTTAAAAAATGCTTATTTACTTGACATATGTGAGAGTTTTTAAAACTTCATTATTTATTTATTTGAGAAATGGAGAGAGAGTCTGTTCCCATCCACTGGTTCACTGCACAGATACCCACAATGGCCAGGATGTGGGGACTGAAGCCAGGAGCCAGGAACTCAATTCAAGTCTTCATCAATGGCAGGAATCCAACTATTTGAACCACCACCTGAACTTGTATATAATGTTTGTATTTAAAAAAAAATGCTGGGGGCCGGCGCCGCGGCTCACTAGGCTAATCCTCCGCCTTGCGGCGCCGGCACACCGGGTTCTAGTCCCGGTTGGGGCGCCGGATTCTGTCCCGGTTGCCCCTCTTCCAGGCCAGCTCTCTGCTGTGGCCAGGGAGTGCAGTGGAGGATGGCCCAGGTGCTTGGGCCCTGCACCCCATGGGAGACCAGGAAAAGTACCTGGCTCCTGGCTCCTGCCATCGGATCAGCGCGGTGCACTGGCCGCAGCGCGCTGGCCGCGGCGGCCATTGGAGGGTGAACCAACGGCAAAGGAAGACCTTTCTCTCTGTCTCTCTCTCTCACTGTCCACTCTGCCTGTCAAAAAAAAAAAAAAGCTGGGGCAGGGGCCAGCATTGTGGAGTAGCAGGTAAAGCTGCCATCTGTGGTGCCAGCATCCCATGTTGGGGCTGGTTTGTGCCTTGGCTGCTCCACTTCCAATCCGGCTCCCTGCCAATGGCCTGGGAAAGCAGTGTAAGATGGCTCAAGTGCTTGGGCCCCTGCACCCACATGGGAGAGCCAGATGAAGCTCCTGGCACAGCCCTGGCCATTGCAGCCATTTGGGGAGTGAACCAGCAGAAGGAAGATCTCTCTCTCTCTCTCTCTCTCTCTCTCTCTGTAACTCTGCCTTTCAAATAAAACAAACAAATATTAAAAAAAAAAAAAGCGGAAGAAGAAGCATAACATAATGGATTAAAACCTGTCAGGTATATTTAAAACGAGATTTAAAAAAGAAACCATTGGGGCCAGCACTGTGGTGTAGAGGGTAAAGCCGCCGCCTGCAGTGCCAGCATCCCATATGGGCGCCGGTTCAAGTCCCAGCTGTTTCACTTCCAATCCAGCTCTCTGCCATGGCCTGGGAAAGCAGTAGAAAATTCTCTAAGTCCTTGGGCCCCTGCACCCACATGGCAGACCCGGAGGAGGCTCCTGGCTCCTGGCTTCAGATTGGCGCAGCTCCAGCCATTGTGGCCATCTGGGGAGTGAACCAGCGGATGGAAGATCTCTCTCTCTCTCTCTTTCTCTCTCTCTCTCTCTCTGCCTCTCCTTCTTTCATGATAGCCATCTCTGGAGGTCTCCAGGCACTAACTCTGACACTGGTGAACAGAGAGGGGAATCAAGCATTGATTCCAGAATAACAAAACAGTAAGGTAATGTTCTCTCTGGAGGAAGTCAGGCTATTAAAAGCAGAAGGAAAGACAGAAATAGAAACTCATCCTTTCACAACCTTAATAAAATAATGAGTCTAGGCATTGATCACCAATGACTGCTAAAATCATTAGGCCCACGGTTGATGGGAAATTTTGTAACAGATGGATCCAACTGACAATGTCTGAACCAGGTGATCAATCTTAACATCATCACAACAGAGACAACAGATATCAGGGGCTAGCTGATGGGAGGCCAGAGGAAGCCCAAGGCTCCATCTCTGAATTATCTTTGCCAAAAAGAATTAAACCGAGGCTTCTCCAAGCCTCGAATCTGCCTGTTTACAGGAAATTCCTAATCTAAGGGACACTTCTAAGTGACACCAAGAGGATGCCAAATGCAAACTGGGAAATTCAAAGTGGGGAGTGGGGGGAACAGCACACCATTATACATCTTAACAGATACAAGAGGCACATGATCCAAATATCAAACCAACTGTGGAAAGATATGCTGGAGATGACAGGGAAACTTGAACAGAGGTTGTATATTAGGCAAGAAAATAATTTTTTTAAGTGTGATCATGGTGTTACGGTGATGGACAGGCCGAAGAGACACAGGTGACAGGACAGGACGTCTAAGATTTGCGTTGAAATACTCCAGCAGGTGTCAGAGAAGCCGGGCAGCCAGGGAGCACAGGGGTGGAACCAGCCAGGGGAAATGTTACTGTCTACTTGTTAACGTGCATCTGACGTTGTGTCTTGCTGTTCCTATCTAGTATTTAAATGCTGCTTGACTCCCCTTCCCTGCCGCCAACTGCACAGTCAGGGCACTCGGCAGCCCTGTTCTTCCAGTCCTGTCCAAGGATCAGGTCTAGAAGCTTTGGCAGAGTGAGCAGCTGACCCCTGCTTCCCTCTCTCCCCAGCATCTGCCCTACAACTGCCCCACATGCTGTATGCCCGGGGCCTGCCTGAGTCACTGGTTAGGATTCCTCAGATGCCTCAGTGTCCCTCCCTCCCTGACCACCTGGATCCCACGATGCTCCTTAGCCTCTCTCCTGCACCCACCCCTCCATCTCCTCACCTCTTTTTTCTTCTTGTTTGATTTTCGACAGACAGAGTTAGACAGTGAGAGAGAGAGAGACAGAGAGAAATGTCTTCCTTCCATTGGTTCACTCCCCAAATGGCCGCTATGGCCAGCGCTGCACCAATCCGAAGCCAGGAGCCAGGTGCTTCCTCCTGGTCTCCCATGCGGGTGCAGGGCCCAAACACCTGGGCCATCCTCCACTGCCTTCCCAGGCCACAGCAGAGAGCCGGACTGGAAGAGGAGCAACCAGGACTAGAACCTGGCGCCCATATGGGATGCTGGTGCCGCAGGCAGAGGATTAACCAAGTGAGCCACGGTGCCGGCCCCATCTCCTCACCTGCTACTCACCCTTCAGGTCTTAGCTTAGACACCACTTCCTCCAGGAAGCCATCACTGACAGCCCCGCCATCCTCTCCCAGAACAGCTATTGGGTCCGTCTTTGTGTAGGTGTCGAGACTCTTCCCGACTTACAATGGGGTTACATCCCAATCAACTTGGTGCAACTTGAAAGCATCCCAAGCCAAAAATGCATTTAACCCACCTGACCAACTGCCTCCTAACTTAGCCCAGGCTACCTTCAGCGTGCTCAGAACACTTAGCCTACAAGTCGAGCAAAAGCATCGCACACAAAGCCTACCCAATTATGAAAGAATTGTATATCTCATGTTATTTATTGAATGCTGTACTGAAAACGCACAACAAAACAATTGCATGAGTACACTTCCAAACCAGCATAAAGCTGAAAAGTTGTGAAGTCAAACTATCATAAATCGGATTCTAACTGTAGGATTGCCTCCTTTCTCTGCTCCCTAAGGTAATATCTGTCTTGTCCATTGATGAATCCCTGATGTCTGGCACCACAGCTGACACACAACTGTCACTCAGTGACTAATGTCTGAATGAGTGAGTGCAAGTACAATGGGCTGAACAGAAGAGAAGGTGGGCATGGAGATGAGCACAGATCTCTCCCCTCCTGGTCCCTTAACTCCCTCCCCCCAGGTCTCACCTGTCTTTCTCATGTCCCTCTGGTACTTCTGTTTCAGCCGGTCCATGAGCAGGCCATTCCAGGGGGCACACAGCACTCCGAAGAACTGAGTGATGGCGAAGGCATTTGTGTAGGTGCTGACTGCAGAGGTAAGAGAGGGGTTGGGTGACGAACACATCCAGGCCTGCCTTGCAAGGGAAGACTCTCCCACCTTCCCGTGCCCAGCCTGGCTCTCCTCCCCAGACCCTCTGACCTTGCTCTGCACCACACAGCCCTACAGAGCTTCGTATGCATCCCCCATGTCCCTGGGACGTGCAGATGAACTGTTGCCTCCCAGCCCCGCCACGTACTGAGCACCATGTTGCCCTGGGCCAGGTTGGTCAGCAGGGAGTTGAGAGTGCCAATGAAGAGGTAATGCCAGAGCTGTATCACAGACAGCCACACCAGATGCCAGGCGAAGCGCCAAGAGAGAGCGTAGCTCCAGAAGGAGCCAGGTCCCTGCTGCTGCCCCGGTCCTGAGGTCTCTGTTGGGGACGGAGGATCCAGGCATGGATTATAAGAAGAGAGGAGGGTTAGGAAGAGCCAGAGTGTAGGGCACTTACAGGGTCAGAGCCCACCTTCCACCCTTGTCCCAGCTCATCTGCAGGCTCCTGGAGCTGCCTGCAGCTCATCCATCCCCTGCTCCTGCTTTGTCATCCCAGCCCTACCACCTTGAGTGACCCATGCTCCTGGCCTATTGAAATCGGATCTGCCTCTAACAGCCACTTTCCTGATCCTTCTCAGCCCCAAGGGTGAAAGGAAAGACAAGCCAAGGACAGCAACGGTTCCACCGGGTTCCAAATCCCTTCTCTCCCTTTTGGGGCCTGAATCCTGCATTTCCTTGAGAGGCCTTCCCCTGCCCTATTCTTCATGACCACACGGGACTGTGAATTCAGCGTCCCGTTGACCAGTTCACTCATTCCCCCTGAAGAAAGGGACCGGCCTGAACGGTAGATTGGGCAGCCCAGAGCACTCCCTGGTTCGACTTGCCCAGCAAATTCAGTTTTCCTCTTGGCTTTGTGAGTTTCTCAGAATCCTATTCGACTTTCATTTTTTAAAATACACTTGATTGTGTATATTTAAGGTATACAACATGATGTCATGGGATGCATATAGATAGTAAAGTGGTTACTATAGTGAAGCAAATTAACATATCTATCATCTCACATAGCTACCCATTTTCTTCTGGCAACATTAGCTAAAATCCACTCATTTAGCAAAAATCCCAAATACAGTGTAATTCCATCAACGGCAGGCGCCACGTCGGACATAAGACAGCCAGACGCATTCATCCCACACACCTGCCATGTGCATCCTTTGTCCTGCGTCTCCCCATTTCTCCCCTGTCTCCACCCTCTCTTCTTACTCCTACTGTAGCCAGCAGTGGTTTGTGATGTTCACAACCAAAAACCCACAACAGAGACAGAGAGGAGAGGAAGGAGGCAGTGCTGGAGATGGGGCAGTGAGATAGAGCAGACCCAGAGGACTGCAGAAATGGGGACAAAAAAACAGACTTCGTGCATCACCATCACAGGAAAGGGTAGGACCCTGGGGTGGGGGAAGAGAAAGCAAACAATGGAAGACAGACTTCAGGAGGTGGGAAAGACAGACGGAAAAGAGACAGAAGTCCTGCCCTTCCTGCGCCCTGTAGATAGTGAAAGATGCCGGAGGTCCATTCTCTGCCTGACTTCTGCCGATCCCGAGTGCCTGCACGGTTCTCTCGGTGAGGAGCAGGTGCAGTCACAAGGCAGGGCCAGGCCACCCGCAGGGCTCACCGTCCTTGGAGGAAAGGAACTCCTTTGACTGCAGCTCCTTGTTCTCTTGCTCAGTTCTTCTTTTCCGTTGCTGCGGTGCCATTCCCAGCACACAGGCCAGGGACTGTGAGCTGAACCCAGGGTGCAGACTGGAGGGAACAGGGTGGGGATCCCTATTTCACTGCATAGTGGAACCACACTCTCACAACCCTGCTCAGGTCACAGACAGAGCAGGCAAATCAGAATGTCTAAGGCTGAAAGTCAGGCTCCCATTTTAGAAAATCATCATCATCATCATCATCATGTCTAGAGCCAGCACTGTGGCATGGTGGGTAAAGCTGCCACCTGCAATGCCAACATCCCTTACAGGTACTGGTTCGAGTCCTGGCTGCTCCACTTCCAATCTAGCTCCCTGTTAATGCACCAGGGAAAGCTGCAGAGTCCACGTGCTTGGGCCCCTGCAGCCATGTGGGAGATCTGGATGAAGCTCCTGGCTCCTAGCTTCCTCCTGGCCCAGCCCTGGCTGTTGCAGTTATTTGGGAGTGAACCAGTGGATAGAAAATCTCTCTCTCTCTCTCTCTCTCTCTCTCTCTCTCTCTCTCTTCTCTCTCTCTCTCTCTCTCTCCTTTTCTTTCTGTAACTCTGCCTTACAAATAAAAAAATCTTTTTAAAAAAGGAAAAATTAAAAAGGCTGTTAAGTTACAGTAATACGCAGTAAAATTTGGGGACCACTGGAAGCAGGGCAGAGGTGGGCAGGTCTGAGCTCAGATCCCAGCTCTGCCTCTTCCTAGCTGCAGAAACACTGCCGAGATGGAAACTCCTGAGCCTCACTCTCCCTGTTTGGGAAGCACAGGACCACTGTGAGGATGCAATCAGAGCACCATGGGCCTGGTACGTAGTCGGCGAGCGGCCAGTGAATGCTCTCCAGTCCCCTGTAACTGGCTGCGAGCACAGTTACCTCACTTCACCTATCAAAACGGGCTTCTGCACCTCTGATTCTTTCTCCCCATCCCCTAACTCTGAGCTGGCCTTGTGCCCTGCTGTAGCCAAGAGAATGCAGCAGACGTGATGTGCCACTGCCAAGCCTAAACCTCAAGAAACCCTGTGCACTTTCCACTTTCTTTCTCTCGGAAACCTAAAACCACAATGTGAACAAGTGCAAGCCAGCCACGGGAGGAGGGCAGCCATGCGGCGGACACAGCCAGGTCACTCCAAACCCCATGTGTATGAGGCCGTCCTAGACCTGCTAATCCACCAGATGATCGGGGGACTAGCCAGTGGAACTAGCCAGCTCCCCACAGACTTGCAAAAAAAACAATAAATGCTGGGACCGGTGCAGCATCCACTGTGGTGCAGTGGATTAAGCCATTGTCTCATTATACCAGCATTCCGTATGGGCACCGATTCAAGTCCTGGCTGCTCCACTTCTGATCCAACTCCCTGCTAGTGGCCTGCAGAAAGTAGCCCGAGTACTTGGATCCCTGTCACCCATGTGAGAGACCCAGAGGAAGCTCCTGGCTCTTTTTTTTTTTTTTTTTTTTGACAGGCAGAGTGGACAGTGAGAGAGAGAGACAGAGAGAAAGGTCTTCCTTTGCCGTTGGTTCACCCTCCAATGGCCACCGAGGCCGGTGCATTGCGCCAATCCGAAGGCAGGAGCCAGGTGCTTATCCTGGTCTCCCATGGGGTGCAGGGCCCAACTACTTGGGCCATCCCAGAGAGCTGGCCTGGAAGCGGGGCAACCGGGACAGAACCCAGTGCCCCGTCCAAGACTAGAACCTGGTGTGCCGGCGCCGCAAGGCGGAGGATTAGCCTACTGAGCCTCGGCGCCGGCTGCTCCTGGCTCTTGACTTCAGCCTGTCCCAGCCCCAGGGCCCCAGCTGTTGCAGCCATCTGGGGAGTGACCAGCAGATGGAAGATTGATCTCTCTCTCTCTCTCTCTCCCTCTCTCTGTCTCTCTCTCTCCCTCTCTCTCTCTGTAACTCTGACTTTAAATAAATAAATCTTTTTTAAAATTAGCTAAGTGATACGCCCCTGGTTCCAGTCCCCCTCTCCCATCTGCCCACCCCCTGCTCCTACCCCGGGATGATGAGGTTGTGGCCCACAGTCACCAGATCGCAGTCCTTACCCATAGCTGTAGTTGGGTGGCAGAGGGTAGGGGATGTGCCCCCAGGGCATCAGGAGAAAAGTGCGTCCCACATGCCAGATGCTGCAGACAGAGAGGAAGATGAAGGAGGCCCTGAGGCTGATGCCCTGTTCATGAAGAAGCTACGGGAGAAGGAAGGAAAAGTTGATGTAACATCTGTGTCCAAAACAGCAGCATTATTCACAACAGCCAAAACTCACATCTGTCAACGGATGAATGGATAAACAAGATGTGGTATGTACATACAGCGGAATATTATTCAATTCTAAAATAGCAAAGAGGGGCCAGCACTGTGGTGCAGCAGGTTAAGCCACTGCCTGCAACACCGGTATCCCATGTGAGCACCAGTTCGAGACCTGGTTGCTTCACTTTGGATCCAGCTCCCTGCCTGGGAAAGCAGCAGAGGATGGCCCAAGTGTTTGGACCCCTGCACCCATATGGGAGACCTGGAAGAACTCCTGGCTCCTGGCTTCCGCCTGACCCAGCCCCGGCCATTGCAGTCACTTGGGGAGTGAATCAGTAGATGAAAGATTCTCTCTATCTTTCTCTCTCCCTTCTTCTCTCTGTAATTCCTCCTTTCAAATAAAATAAATCTTTTTTTAAAAAAAAAAAAAACCTCTCTCTCTCTCTCTCTTCTCATTGTGCCTTTCAAATAAATAAATAAATCTTTTAAAAAAATAGGAAAGAAATGGGAGGAGTTTTGGCTTAACAGTTAAGACACCAGTTAAGATACAATGTCTGGGGCCAGCGCTGCAGCATAGCAGGTAAAGTTGCCTCCTGCAGTGCTGGCATCCCATTTGGGTACTGGTTCGAGTCCTGGCTGCTCCATTTCCAATCCAGCTCTCTGCTAAGGCCTGGGAAAGCAGCAGAGGATGGCCCAAGTCCTTGGGCCCCTGCACCCATGTGGGAGACCTGGAAGAAGCTCCTGGCTCCTGGCTTCAGATTGGCACAGCTCCAGCCATCGCGGCCAATTGGGGAGTGAATCAGGGATGGAAGACCTCTCTCTCTGCCTCTCCTCTCTCTGTGTAACCCTGACTTCCAAATAAATAAATAAATAAATAAATCTTTAAAAAAAAAAAAGAAGATACAATGTCCCACATCACAGTGCCTAGGTTCATACCGGGCTCCAGCTTCTCATTCCAGCTTCCTTCTAATACAGACCCTGGAAGGCAGCAGGGATGACTCAATTACTTAGGTTCCTGCCACTCATGTGGATTAAGTTTTTGGCTTCCGGTTTCAGAACAGGCCTAGCTTTGGCTGTTGTAGGTATTTGGGGAGAAAACCAGAGAGTAGGAGTGCTCTCTCTCTCTCTCTCTTTCTGCGTGCGTGTGTGTGTGTGTGTGTGTTTCTGCCTCTTGAATACATACGATTTTTGAGAAGGTCAATATCATGTTTTAAGAAACAAAAGAAGGCATTTCTGACACATCATACAACATGGATGAACCATGAGAGAACATGGTGCTAAGTGAAAGACTCTAATCAGAAAAGGATACATTCTGTCCACCTCCACTTACATGAGACACCTGCAGCAGTCCGATTCACAGAGCTGCAGAGTGGAAGGGAAGCTGGGGAGCAGGACAGGGAGCTGGTGGCAGTGTAGAGCTGGGTTTTACGGCATGAGAGATGCTGGGTGCAGAACAGCAGGAAAGCGCTGAACGCCACTGAACTACATGCTTACAAATGGTTACCATGGTGAAGTGTGCATTGCGTGCATATGATCACACACACACAACCAGCCCAAGAGGCAAGGGCTGAAACCCCAGCTTCCAAGAAGGAACCTTAGCAAGGCTCCTGGGGAGCACCCTAGAAGCTGACGGAGGACACTGGGACACACACCCCTCCCCAGGGCCCAGCCTGCATCCAGGAGTCACCCTGCCATCCATCCCCACAGCCCAGAGGCCTCCTCAGAGCTCTGGGCCAGTGCTTCCCCACCCCGACTCCGACTGCAATAAGGCCCTTGCGTGCTCACAAAATTTGACACCCAAACGCGGCTCACAAAGCTGCCCAGTCATCCTCCCTTTCATTCTCCTTGATGCGACAAACATCAAAGTTCCTCAACTCCCAGCTTGAGAACCACTGATGGAGCCCAACCTCCCAGCACGACAGAGGACAGCACTGAGGTTCACAGGGGTGCAAGGGAGTGCTCAAGGTCAGAGCAAGCAGCAGCAAGGTCAGATTAACCCCAGAATGCCAGCTCCCGAGAGAAGAAAGGGAGGCACACCCAGGAGGAGAAAGAACCCAGAGAGCGGCTCCTATGCCAGGAGTAGAGGCTCACGTGCCCAAGGGCTCAGCCTCTGGATGGCCCTGCAGGCCAAGGCCATGTTTGAGAAGTGACTGCCAGGGGTGCTTTTCTCTGTGGCCATGGCCCATGGGCAGTGCCACGTGCCTCTGACCTAACACAAAGCCCAGAGGGAAGGCCCAGGCCCACAGCCTGAGACCCGCATCCCCTTCTTCCTTTCATTCAGCCATTGTTAGCACCTGCCTTATGCCCTCTAGCTTGTTGCCTCTTTGTCAAAGCACGGCTGCCATAACTCCAGGTATCACATCCTCTCACTGCAACCTTAGAAGAAGGTAATGAGAGACCAAGGGGCGGGCACTGTGGTGCAGCATGTGGAGTCGCCACTTGGGACACCTGCACCCCAGACTGGAGTGCACGGGATCCAGTCCCACCTCCACTTCCAATCCAGCTTCCTGTTAATGCACACCCTGAGAGGCAGGAGGTGGTGGCTCCAGTACTTGCATCCCTGCCATCGATGTGGGAAACCCAGATGGGGTTCCTGGTTCCCAGCTTCTTCTAGCTTTGACCTGGTCCAGCTCTGGCTGTTACAGGCAACTGGGGAGTAGACAAGCAGATGGCTTTCTCTCTCTCTCATTCTGCCTTTCAAATAAATAACAAATTGTAAAACTTTTTAAAGATAAGGTTAAGGTTTTTTTTTTCTTTTTTTTTTTTCTTTTTTTTTTTTTTTTTGGACAGGCAGAGTTAGACAGAGAGAGAGACAGAGAGAAAGGTCTTCCTTCCCTTGGTTCACCCCCCCCCCAAATGGCCACTACGGCCGGTGCGCTGCGCTGATCCAAAGCCAGGAGCCAGGTGCTTCCTCCTGGTCTCCCATGCAGGTGCAGGGCCCAAGCACCTGGGCCATCCTCCACTGCACTCCCTGGCCATAGCAGACAGCTGGCCTGGAAGAGGGGCAACCGGGACAGAATCCGGCGCCCCAACCGGGACAAGAACCTGGGGTGCTGGCGCCGCAGGCGGAGGATTAGCCAAATGAGCCACGGCGACAGCCAAGATCTCTCTCTTTTTTTTTTTTTTAAAGATTTACTTATTTGGGGCCAGCGCTGTGGCATAGCAGGTAAAGCAGTGCCTGCACCCCATATGGGCGCAGGTTCGAGATCCGGCTGCTCCACTTCCGATCCAGCTCTCCGCTATGGCCTGGGAAAGCAGTAAAAGATGGCCCAAATCTCTGGGCCTCTGCACCAGCGTGGGAGACCTGGAAGAAAAATCCTGGCTCCTGGCTTCGGATCGGCACAGTACCGGCTGTTGCAGCTAACTGGGGAGTGAACCAGCAGATGGAAGACCTCTCTCTCTCTGCCTCTCCTTCTCTCTCTGTGTAAGTCTGACTTTCAAATAAATAAATAAATCTTTTTAAAAAAATTTACTTATTTGAAAGGCAAAGTTACAAAGAGAGAGAGAGACAGAGAGAGATCTTCCATCCGCTGGTTCACTCTCCAAATCGCTGCAATGGTCAGAGCTGGGCCAGGCCGAAGTCAGGAGCCTGGAACTTCATCCGAGTCTCTCATGTGGATGCACTTGGACCATCTTCTGTTGCTTTCCCAGGTGCATTAGCAGGGAGCTGGATTGGAAGTGAAGCAGCCAAGACTCAAACCGGCACCCATATGGGATGCCAGCATCACAGGCAGTGGTTTAACCTGCTATTGCACAATGCCAGCCCCATAAATAAACTTTTTTTATAAAAGAAGGAAAGCCAAGGAGGCAGATTTTCTTTTTAGTTGGCTCTCATCTTCCATTAGCAAGGAGATGTTCCCTAACATCCTCCTCTTACACCCCCTTTATCTCATGGACAAGGACTAGACCACTGGCCCACCTCTAGCCATCACTGACAATAGAGGAAGGAAGCGTCATGGTTGGCTGATATGGATCAGGCTTCATCCCCTGTCCTGGCAGATCACTGCCCAGATAAAACTGTCAACAATGAACAAGGCAGAACGGTTGTTGGTGGACCCCAAAACCACTGGCAACAGTTCATCACCCTGTCGCTCAACAGCAGCTTTAGGAGATGCTGGACAAGACTCCATGTGTGCTGCCGGGCCTCCAACCCCCAGCCACCCATTGCAAAGGGTGCCCAACACTGGCCCAAGCACTGTGACCGTGCCTTCTCTTGGCCTCTGCCCAACACGCTAAGTGAAGTAAGAAGAAGAGGCTCTTGGTGATCACACACTCAGAGTCTAGAACCAAACAGTTCCATGGTCACCACTTGCAGAAGCTTAAGCAAGCATCTAAAAAGAAAGACAGAAAGACAGAAAGACAGAAAGACAGAAAGACAGAAAGACAGAAAGACAGGAAGGAAGGAAGGAAGGAAGGAAGGAAGGAAGGAAGGAAGGAAGAAAGAAAAGAAAAGAAAAGAAAAGAAAAGAAAAGAAAAGAAAAGAAAAAGAAAAAGAAAAAGAAGAGAAGAGAAGAGAAGAGAAGAGAAGAGAAGAGAAGAGAAGAGAAGAGAAGAGAAGAGAAAAGAAAATATTTGAGAGACACAGAGCTCTCATCTGCTGACTCATTCTCCAAATTAATGGCTCCCAGCAGGGGTCAAAGCCACAGGCCAGGAACTCAATCCAGGTCTTACACCACATGGATGGCAGGAACCCAATCACTTGAGCCATCACCTGCTGCCTCCCAGGGTCTACACTGGCAGGAGTGGACCCAGGCACTCTGACATGGGATGTGGCATCTTCACCTCCTTGAGACTCAAATGCTTCATCTATAAGATGGAGATAAAATAGCACCCACCTCCAGATGGATGGAGAGAAACCACTCATGGTTCACAGGACAAGTGTCACTCATATGTAAGTGCTCGGTAAACCTCGGCCCTTGCTCCTTACCTTGATGATAAGGAAGACTGCCGAGGAAGAGTCAAATGCGCCATTGTAGAGGGTGATGATGGTCGAACGATGTTTGCCAAATAGGTTCCCGATCTGGGGAAGACATGACCAGCCTGAGTCACTTAATTATTCGCAACACAAACATTTCCTGAGCACCCCGCCTGTGCCAGGTGCTCATCATACCCAAAACTCACCCTCTCCCCAAAGAGCTCCCACCCCAGCTAGGGCCAAACCTATTGCAGGCAGCCAAATGTAGAAAGGTACCCCTTCCTCCCTCCTCTGTCTCAACCTGCGGCCAAATGACTGGGTTTAGGGCAGGCTCGCACCTGCAGGTTGGTGATGAGAAACAGGATTCCCCCAACGGTGAGCATGGGCATGGCCAGGAAGAGTAGCACAGCCGAATCTGGAATGAACAAGGCCAGAGGGCGGGTGGTGACTTAGTGCAATGCAAACATGGAGCCCCAGACGGTCCTCCGGGAAGCCCTAGCTCCCTCCCGTTCCAAATTCCCAGCAGCACTGGGGTCAGGGCCCCAACCCTGGCAGCATCCCTATAGGATCTTGGGTTAACTGGCCAAGGCTCCCCCAGATATCTCTGTGGAGGTCTCATGAGCCACTGTCTTCCCCATCAAAGCAGTCCCTACCCTGTGACAGCACTCAAAGTGAAGTCACTGCCTCCTTCCCTCACCAGACCACAAGCAGCCCCTTCCATTCATACTCAACACTGTGGGGGAAGAGAGTCCTAGCCTCAGCCCCTAAACCCACTCCCTAGCTCACTGACCAACCTTGAACTGGTTTCTAAATGAACCTGTGCCTCAACAACTTCATCTGTTAAATGGAAACAACGGTCCTGCCCTCCCTGCCTCCTGGAAGTGCTATGAGGTCTGAGTGAGAAAATGGCAATGGTCTATTCTTTTTTTTTTTTTTAATTTTTTTTATTATTTTATTTATTTTTTTTTTTTGACAGGCAGAGTGGACAGTGAGAGAGAGAGACAGGTGAGAAAGGTCTTCCTTTGCCGTTGGTTCACCCTCCAATGGCCGCCGCGGCCGGCGCGCTGCGGCCGGCGCACCGCGCTGATCCGATGGCAGGAGCCAGGAGCCAGGTGCTTTTCCTGGTCTCCCATGGGGTGCAGGGCCCAAGCACCTGGGCCATCCTCCACTGCACTCCCTGGCCACAGCAGAGGGCTGGCCTGGAAGAGGGGCAACCGGGACAGAATCCAGCGCCCCGACCGGGACTAGAACCCGGTGTGCCGGCGCCGCTAGGCGGAGGATTAGCCTAGTGAGCCGCGGCGCCGGCTGGTCTATTCTTTTATTAATTAAACTTGGATCCTTCCCTCAGGCAAGGTGCTGTGCTTGGCACTGAAAATGCAGGAAGAGAAAAGCACACCTCTTGCCCTTGAAAAGACTGACATGCAAACAACTGTTACAACAAGTCTGGGAAGTGGTGGATGATGGCCAAAAGCTCATAGGGTGCCAGAGGCCTTGATTAAGAGTTGTTCCCAAACCACAGATTTCTATCACCATCCTGTTGGTCATAACCCATGCCTGTCCTGATATTCATTAAAATGGGGTTTAAGGGGACTCATTTTATCCAAAATAAACCTTTAAAATTATTTTTATTTGTTTTTATTTTACTTCAAAGGCAGAGACGGGCAGAGAGAAATCTTTCATCTGCTCATTCACTCACTCCCCAATGCCCACTGGGCCAGGACAAGGCTAGGAGCCCATAACTTAATCTGGGTCTCCCACGTGCATGGCAGGGACTCAAGTACCTGAGCCATCAGCTGCTGCCCTGCAGGTACATTAGCAGGAAGTGAGATCAGAAGTGGAGGAGCGGACTGGAGGTGGGAGTGGGCATTATGGCACAGCACATCTCACATCAGCGTGCCTAGGATCAAGTCCTGCCTCTGTTTCTGATCCAGCTCCCTGCTAATGCACCTGGGAAAGCAGCAGAAGATGGCCCAATTGCCTGGGCCCTCGCCACCCACAAGGAAGACCTGGATGGAGTTCCTGGCTCCTGGTTTTGATCTTGCCCAGACCTGGCTGTTGTCCTCATGTGGGAACTGAACCAGTGAATGAAGATCTCTCCTCCCCCAGGGTGTGCTACCTTTCAAATTAATTCATCTTAAAAACGTTGTAGCTGGATACAGTTGCCTTTGGCACTGAAGTCATGTTAGCCTCACATCAAGACTTTATTTCATGAAATCAGACGACAGAAAGAATAATAGAAAAGCAATAACCTTTCCCTCGGCGGTTTAATGATTATTAATGTTGTAGGTGTATGTCCCTGATATCCTCTTAGGTAATTATTGTGTTACACCTTCAGAGGCCCTGTGAAGAACTAATTTTAGAGTTTTCACACTATTTACCATTCAGCGTCTGCCTTTACACACTTTATGCACATCTTTTCTAAAGAACTAAGGGCTCATGGCGATTCTTTTCACAGTGGAGTCATTGTGGGCTCCCAGCCTCTTCCTAATCAAAAAGCCCTATTTTATGGAGGAAGCGGGGGGGATTTCTGCCTAAACGATTCATAAATGAGTCAAACATTACCCAGCTTCCAGCTCCACATTCAGTCTTGGAAATTATTCACAGGCTAGATTACAGGAAGCCTGTTTGCTGGGCAGAGAGTAATTGGCTGCAGGTGCCACGTTATCTCTATTTGGCCTAACACCCTTACCCTCCGTGTTGGCCGAGCACGAGTAGAGTTGACCTCATGCCACCATCTGGCTTCCACACAGACACTACACACACCTGAGTTATATACCAGATCTTCACTTCCTAACCCAAATGCAGAGCCATGCGAAATGGCACTGGAGGCCAGCACCACGGCTCACTAGGCTAATCCTCCACCTGCAGCGCCGGCACACCGGGTTCTAGTCCCGGTCGGGGCGCCGGATTCTGTCCCGGTTGCCCCTCTTCCAGGCCAGCTCTCTGCTATAGCCCAGGAAGGCAGTGGAGGATGGCCCAAGTGCTTGGGCCCTGCACCCGCATGGGAAACCAGGAGAAGCACCTGGCTCCTGGCTTCGGATCAGCGCGGTGCACCAGCCGCGGTGGCCATTGGAGGGTGAACCAATGGCAAAAGGAAGACCTTTCCCTCTTTCTCTCTCTCTCACTGTCCACTCTGCCTGTCAGAAAGAAAGAAAGAAAGAAAGAAAGAAAGAAAGAAAGAAAGAAAGAAAGAAAGAAAGAGAGAAAGGAAAAGAAAAGAGAAAAAGAAAGAAAGAAAGAAAGAGAGAGAGAGAGAGAGAGAGAGAGAACGGACACTGGAGAGCCACATTGGGAGGCATCTTGTGGCCCCATAACCAAGGCACCAGCATAGCCAGGGTCAGTAACTTTCTCTGTGGCCTTGGGCAAGGGGCTCCTCTCCAGCCTCAGTTTTCTCCTCTGCTTAATGGGAGAGCAGGACAAAACAGATGAGAATTTCCAGACTTTTGTGGGCCAGTAAAATCTGAAAAGCAAGCTTTTTGAGTTCAACAAGGCTGTTGACTTTTTCCCCCACTAAGTCAGGTTGTGTGTTTTCCAAAACCATCATTAATATGATCATTTCATTAAAAGGATAGAGAACACTGGGACACACAAGAAGGACGTAGTACTTTGAATGAATTCTCCTCTCGAAGCAGCCTCTCTCCACTGTCTTTCCTTTTCACATTTTCTCCATAACTAAGCTGTTTTCCTAGACCAGCAACAACTCAATATCCCTTCAAGATTCTTTAAGCTGTGGACCTCAGAGTAACCATGAGGTCCATATGTCCTGCCTGCTACCTCCTGCACCTGCTTCACTAGACATCTCTAGAACCATGTCCCTCTCACACACTTGGCAACACTCACCTGTAGAGGTGAAGGCTATGGTGAGGGTGGCACTTGTGTAGAAAAATCTGAAATACAGAATAGGGCATGGAGAATATTGTCAAGAAAAGAGAAACCTGGGGCTGGTGTTGTGATGTAACAGGTAAAGCCGCCACCTGCAGTGCTAGCATCCCCATATGGGCACTGGGGCTCCACTTCCAATCCAGCTCCCTGTTAATGCACCTGGGTGTTCATGCACCTGGGAAAGCAGCAGAGGACGGCTCAAGTGCTTGGGCCCCTGCACTCACAGGGGAGACCCAGGAGAGAAGCTCCTGGCATTGGTCTGGCCCATCCCTACCCATTGAGGCCATTTGGAGAGTGAACCAGCAGATGGAAGCTCTCTCTCTCTGTTTCTCTATCTGCCTCTGTAATTCTGCCTTTCAAATAAAATAAAAGAAATCTAAGAGAAAGAAAAGGAAGGGAGGGAGGGAGGGAGGGATGGAGGGAGGGAGGGAGGGAATGGCTGGACTGATCTAGACTCCAAGCTTAAAGTTCTAGAGCGCTACAGTTTCAAGACCACCATCCCGAGGTTACAGGAATCCCTTGGCAGCTGACGGGGGAGTAGGAGGATCTTCTAAGGCAGAGGGTAAGAGAGGCAGGACCCTGAGAACCCTGCTGGAGAAAGGCAGGAAGAAGAGCATCCAGGGAGCCAAAGACCAGAAGGACCGAGACAGTCAGTCAGTTTGCACCTAAAGGGACTTGCTCTACTCCCCAGCTATTTCCTGGTCCAGGTCCAGCTGCGCCCCCCCGCCCCGCCCCCAGCTTCCCTCTGCCAGTTGATCTCACACCCGCCTCCCTGGGATCTATCAGCCCCCAGCAGGCCACTGCTTATCACCAAACCCCACCACAGAGACCAGGATGCAGGAGCACACGAGTTCTTGGCCTCCCCCACTCCTTTGCATGGGAAGCCCTATTCTCACCCCCTGTAGCACAAGGGGGGCCTGAAACTCCACCACTGGAGGTACCCACAACATTCTGTGATGACTGAGTGATGAGGGTGACTAGGAGGAGGAGAAGCCTCGGGTGTGAGGCTTCATAGGGAGATGAGGAAAGGATCCAGGGAGAAGGCAGAGAGCAGTTGCTAATTTCGCAACTCAGGCCTTTGGGCAGCCCTCATGGAAAGTCAGCCCGGGCTCCTGTGCAATTAGATACAGAAGACAGCTGCAGTGCTGTGGAGTAGGGGAAGGAGGCGAGGAGAGGGAAGCAGGGCTGTGGGAACGGGGCGGCCCCACGCCCTGCCAGCTCTGCTCCTCACAGCTGTGTCTGCCAGCTGCTGGCTCGGGGCCAAGCAGGGCTGCCCAGCTGCCTAACCTTGGTCTCCCTCCCAGCCTGACCAATGCCTCTTGCCCACACCACTAGACGCGCGGGGCCCCGGGGGGACTCACATGGCTAGGAGGCGGGCCACAGTGGTCTTGAATCGGTCAAAGATGTAGCCGGTGGGGAACGTCATGAAGTTGTTCATGAACGACGCCAGGGTGAAGATGAGCGAGAACCTCTCATCCTGGGCTTTGCAATCTAGAAGGGGGAAGGGGAGGCTCAGAAGCCCAGGGCAGACTGGCCACACTGCCCCATCCTCCCAGCCCTCCAGCCCGGTGACACCTGCCCTAGGATCCCCTCCATCCGACTTGGACAGCTTGCCTGGAGATGTGACTGTCCCTAAATCCTCTCCCGGGCACCCCCCTAGACCAGGGTGCAGGAAGGGGTGGCAGGAGGCACAGGGGTGGAGCCAGAACTCAGCTTCCGGGGAGAAGGCATCACCCTCCTTACCAGTGGTGTTGCCCAGTGTTCCAGACGGCGGCTCACACAGCTCCTCAAAGTAGTGCTCTGTTTTGAAGACGAACACCAGGGAAGTCCAGCCGAAGAGCACGCCGGCAAAGCCCAGGCACTCCAGTAGCCCTGTCAGCAGGGTGGCCACGTGAAGGGGCAGGGCCTGGCCCACCATGGCCCCAGGCACTGAGCCTCAAAGCCCACGTTGTCCTCCCTGGCTGACCACAGCAGCTTCAAGTCCTGGCGTCTGAGCCCTTGGAAAATTCCTTTGGCGAGCCTTTCCTTTCCTGGAGTTCTCTGGTTCTGTCTGCGGCTTGGGCACAAAACAGAGCCTGTGAAATAAACAGAGGCTGCCTGAAACAGGAGGCTGCCGGAGGGAAAGTTCAGGTGGAAAACTGTTCTCTGTGGCAGGAAGGAGCAAGATGCCCACCCGTGTTAGGAGGGCAGCACCCTCAGGACAAAGATGACCTTAATGACTTATGCAGAGTTCTGCCAGCAACAGGTGAGGGAGCAGGCCCGGCGCTGAGCTCCGATTCTGAGCTCTGTCCACTGAAATACCATCGGCCCCTCTGAGTGAGGCCAGGGGACTAGGGGGCTGTGTCTGCGCCCACCCAAATTCTCATAACAGCCGGGCAAAATTGGAGTTTCCTTATCTGCAGTTGGTTGACAATGAGACCAAAGTTCCAGGGAATATCAGGAAACTTGTCCAAGGTCACACGCTAGTTACTCACCACCACGCAGGCTGTGCTAGCGCCAGAAACAGCCCAGCACCCAAGGACCCGGGCCTAGGACTCCATCCACCAACTCCCCCCCCCCCCCCAAGAAAGTGCCCAAGGCCATTCCCGCCCCGCGCAGCGCTCCGCTACCCGCGGCCGCCCCCCGCCGCGCGCTGCCTGCCCTCCGGGCCCGGGTCTGCCCAGTCTCAGCGCCCCCACGCCCACTCCTCGCAGGGCGCCGCTGCCCGCCGACCGGCCCTGCCGCGCTCCTACCAGCCCGCTCCACGCCGCAGCTCTCCGCGCTCTTCCCGCGCGCGTCGTAGTTCAGATTCGCGCTTCTCACCGCCCCGCCCGGTGCCCTGCTCGCCTCCGCCCGCGCCCGCCTGCCCGGAAGGGGCTGGGACAGGCCTCTGGTTCTCCACCACTTCCTTCCCCTTCGCCCGCGCTCTCACTAGCCCTTTTGGACGTATTCTTCTCCCTCTGCAACCCTCTTCCGTCCCTGCAGTGTCTCTGCTTCCCGGCTCCCCGGCCGCTCCCGCCCTGAGCCGAGTTAGTTTAAGGCTTGTTCCAGACACAGGTGCGCCGGCCCCGCAGAGGTAAGGCACACACCGCGTTCTGCGAGCTTTACCTGAACATGGATCTCCCCATGTTGCCCACCTACTCAACCCTCTCTCTGTCTCTCCCAGAGCCGCCGGAAAATCCCGCGGAGGAACCAAGAACCCAGAACCGAAAGGCTTTTTGGAAACCATTCCCTGCAGGGGGCCTTGCCTTCTCACCCCCAAGGCCCCCTTTGATGACTCTGCCTCACCCCCAGCCCAGATTCTGCAAGAGCCTTCCTGCCAGACTGCATTGATTAACTATTCATTCATGGCCCCATTTTTTATTAATCAAAGACATATATAATTGCCCATCCGAGCTTGTGATCAGCGTGAGATAGCTGGCCTAAGCAGCTGCCTGGCTGGTACCGGAGCCCACAGCAAGTGAGCCGGGGTCTTCCTTAGCCTGTATGGCCATTTCCTTATCAAAAACTCCCGGGGGGGGGGGGGGCGATTTGAGCCTGTTAGATGAGGTCCAGGAACTCAAGCTATTCCAAGCCCATCTCCCCACCACCACCACCACCACCCATTTTAAGGAAGAGATGAAGGTCAGGACTGTGGGAGGCCAGAACCAGGAAATGTTTCCAGATCACTGTGAAAACACCAAGATAAAGAAAGTCCAAGGCCACAACAGAGACTGGACTGCAAAGGGCAGCTGTGGCCCTGCACCCCCAGAGACTTGCAAATTACACAGCCTGAGGCAGGCTCCTGGCTGTTCCACCTGCCAAATGAGGGCAGGAGTGTCTTAGGAACAGGAATTGCCACTACAGAAACGTGATAGGTTTACGAGGTCCCTGCTAGGAGCGGTTGCAGCAGGCAGGTGCTGAAGGTTTGCAGCTTGTCGTTATGCAAATCAAGTTAGAGAAGTAGCTTTGGGAGGGGATCTCAAAGGAACTGGCCCAGGGTCACTCTACCAGGTGGCAGTGTCTATCCAATTCCCAAACCTGCGCCCTCAACATTCCCAGGCTTAACCACAGACACTTGAGCACGGGGGGTGGCGGGTCTTCTTAAAAAATTAGCTGATGGGGGAGGGGTGGGGAAATCTATCTGCTGTAGCTTAGGATGCACAGGACTTCAGATGCAGGCTTTTCTATTTTACTGCAAGATACAAAGACACTGAAATTAATGCAAGCCCTGGCTCCTGCTCTGGAGTGCATGCTGCTCTCCTGGGGACCCGCAGGATCAGTGAGTGTGGAAGAAGCAGGGGAAGAACAGAAAAACTCAAAGCAAAGAGAGATCGTAGAATGTAAATTGGCAGGGGCAGTCCGAGAGGCCCAGCGCACAGGCTCTGCCTGCATCCAGGACTGGAGCATGGGACTCAGGAGGTCTTCCATATCCTCTCTCTCTCGGCACCCCAAAACCACACTTGCCATTGAAGCCCACGGAAGGCACCAGCTCTGGGGACACAACAATCATACTGAAATGATGGAGAGAGAATAGAATAGTCTCTGAACCAGTCCATGTTCTTGGGATCAGATCCCATAGACAGCAGAGGCAAGTGTTATTCTTTTTTTTTTTAAGATGTATTTATTTATTTGAAAGTCAGAGTTATACAGAGAGAGGAGAGGCAGAGAGAGAGAGAGGTCTTCCATCCACTGGTTCACTCCCCAAATGGCTGGAGATGCTCTGATCCGAAGCTAGGAGCCAGGAACTTCCTCTAGGTCTCCCACACAGGTACAGGGACCCTAGGACTTGGGCCATCTTCTACTGCTTTTCCAGGCCATAGCAGAGATCTGGATCAGAAGTGGAGCAGCCGGGACTCCAACCGGCACCCCCAGCTGCAGGCTGGGGCTTTAACCCACTGTGCTACAGCACCGTTCCCCGGGCCCTTTTATATCTTAGGGGGGCTAGGGGTGGGTGACAGTAGGCAGAGGTGGCCTTCTCCATACTAGTCCTTCAGGTTTGACCCACTGGCTTCCAAACCTGGAGAAGAATGCGGGGCAGGGGGCACTACAGGGTGGGAGCTGGAACTGATCTCTTGAAAGAAGGTAGGGGTAACAAGAAACCTAAAGTGACTGAGGCTTGTCTTTGTTCCATCAGAGCCCCGGGCTGTGTGCCAGCTGCTGAGACTCAGGGACTCGGCACTTGCCCTCAAGGAGCTCATTCTCTTGCAGGGGGCAGACAGGTGCAGAAGCCTCCTGCATCCCGGGTGAAGGAACGCTCTTCCCAGCACCTGCACAGGCACTGGGCTGCCACCCAGCGAGGTGTGAGGGCGGAGCGGTCACCTGCCAAAGGCATTGGGATCTCAGCCCACATCCATCAATCATGCCTATCCCTTAGTGTCTCTTCTCTCCAGCCTTGGCCACTGCCCACACACATCCCCTCTCGGGCAGGCGTTACCCGCATCCCTGCCATAGCCTTTCTGCTGCAAGAGTTGATTTCCAAGGTTCCCATGGCATGACACTACCGAACAGCTCAAACCCTCCCCCGCCCACTGCCCGGGGCCAGAGTCCAGTCAACCGGGCTGGGGATACCAGCCAGAGGGTACTGCACTGAGGGAAAGGGAAGCACAGAGCTGGGTCTCTTGTCTTGCAGGTGCTGATGCTGGGGGCTTTTCTCCCCCACCCCACTGTATCTGAATGGCCAGGCTCAACCTTACGGAGGCTGTAGTGGGAGGGGTGGGGAGTGGGTGCATTTATTTAAGTCAGGGGAGAATTTTCCAAACAGGGTGAGGCCTCAGCAGTGCCCCCCCCACCAAGGCAGCCCCTGCCTCCCTGCTGAGCTCTCACAGGACCCTGCCCCTCCCATCCCCAGCGCCACTCTCTGGGTGGGGTTTGCGTACTCTCTGCTACTCGCCATCCTTCCCACGTTTGTCTGTGTGCATCCACTCTGAGCCATTCACAGAGAGGACTTTGCTGCCATGCCAAGCACACAAACAGATACTTTCTTTTCAAAATCTGGGCTCCTGCCAGTCAAAATGTTTGGTTTTTCCCACCTATAGTCTTGAAAGGATTTCAAGAGCCCACTTTAGAAATCAAGGCAAAGGTAAATGCAAACATTTTCTCTTTTATTTCAACTGGGGAGAAAAATTTCAATCATCGTGGGGGCAATGCCCACAAAAGTGCGATAAAAAAAAAAAACCAAGAAGGAAAGAAAGAAAAAGCACATTGATACTGGGCCAATTACTGAATTCTCTGAGCTTTCATCTCCTTATCTAAAAAAGAAATTGAAATTGAGTTACTACAAGGATTAAAGATAATGCATGAAATTTGCCCAATTAGTCCATTAGCTGATTAATAAATAGCAGCTATTGTTGTTAGCAAGAATTATTTAATTACTGGAAAATCAAGATAAAGTCGAATCAAAAAGAAGAAATTAAGTCATATTTGAGAAGGATTGCAAAGTGCTCCTCACCTAAAAAAGAAATCAATGAGGCAAGAAGTCAATGTGTAATGGCTGGGTTCAGTTCCCCAGAGAACCAGTCTCTAGTGAGCCCTAAATGTGCATCCAATTGGCGCCTTCCATGTGGTCTTCTTGGCTTGCCTGAGCTTTGGGAAGGAAGTCTGCTCAGGAACTGGAGGGGCCAGGAAGGGGAGGAAGCCTTGGAGCTGGACTCCTCGGGGTGTCCCCCAGGGTGTTCAAAGCAGCTCTGACAAGGGTGGGGCCCTTGCTCTGGGAAGACCTTTCTTTGGGACCAAGGGAGAATCTGAAATTAATGAAGCCCACAGAGGCGCCGCAGGGCGAGGAGCACTCTGTACAATGAAATCAGCCAGTTCAGTCGGACTTAGCAGGTGTTACACCAATGTCAGCCTCTCTTCCATGTGCAGACAACAGGACCCCTGGCCAGGCCCGCCGCCACACCTGGCCGTATGAGTCTGTTGCACACCCTCCCTGCCCCTAGCTCTTCTTCCCTGCTCATCAAGCAACCGTGTATGACTTCCTGATAGACCAGGACACAACACCCAGGGTGCACCTGCAACTCTCAGAGTCCAGCTGGGGACGTTGTCAACACTGAAAAGCATAATAGCAAGTGTCACTGATGCGATTCTTTATCCAACACAATCCTGTTTCAGGCACTGTTCAAAGTGCTTTGTGCTGGGGCTGGCGCTGTGGCGTAGTGGGTAAAGCCGCCGCCTGCAGTGCTGGCATCCCATATGGGCACCGGTTCAAGTCCTGGCTGCTCCATTTCCGATCCAGCTCTCTGCTATGGCCTGGGAAAGCAGCAGAGGATGGCCCAAGTCCTTGGGCCCCTGCACCCACGTGGGAGACCCAGAGGAGGCTCCTGGCTCCTGGCTTCAGATTGGTGCAGCTCCGGCCATTGTGGCCAATTGGGATGGAGCCAGTGGATGGAAGACCTCTCTCTCTCTGCCTCTGCCTCTTCTTCTCTCTCAGTGTAACTCTGACTTTCAAGTAAATAAATCTTTTTTTAAAGTGCTTTGTGCTTATTCTCTCCCTGGATTGTTGATAACTGTTGTTTTTCTCACCCAGTATCAGAGCCAGGCAAGGCCCTAAGGAGTTCTTCAACGCCCCCAGGATCACATGAGTAGAAAATGGCAGGGCTAAAATAAGAATCCAGATCCCAGGAGGGCATTGTGGCAAAATAGGTCAAGCTGCCACCTGTGACACCGGCATCCCATCTGGGCGCTGGTTCATGGCCTGGTTGCTCTGCTTCTGATCCAGCTCCTTGCTAATGGCCTGGGAGGGGCAGCGGAGGCCGGCCCTTTCAGTTATGAGTCTAGGTCTCCCAGCCCCGCTCACTCAGCTCACTCATGCAGCCAGCCACACCCGCCCACACACAGTCTCTTGAAGAGAGGAAGTGGATCCACCAGGAGGCACAGGACTTTGCACAAGCTCAGCTCCCCAAGAAAAAAGAGCAGGAAGTAGCTGGGGCCAGCTGAACCCCCCCCCACTTTTGCTACTAGGAAGGCAAAGGGGCCTAAGAAAAGACTGGAAGTGAAGGGGGTTGGGGTGGGGGCTGTGGATTATATTGGAGGAGGAAGAGGGCCTGGGGTGAAGGGGGCACCTCCACTACCAGGAGAGCACGTGGCGGGTGGAAACCCCGAGCAATCCTCCAGGGGAGCCTGCCCAGCCCCTCCGTACCCATCCTCCCTGCGCATCACACCAGAAGCAAGTTTGAAGTGAGATTAGGGGAGTCCCCATCAGGATCTGGACAAGGACGCAGGAGAGAGGGGTCCAGTCCTGGATGTTGGGCGCCACCCTGGCTGGGTGGCTCCAGCATCGTCCCCACAGGGACCTCAGTTCCTTCATCTGTAGACCAAGTGCTGACCATCTCTCAGCTCTCCATGTCTGCGTGTGGCAAAGGCAACGCTGGGACCGTGTCCCCCCCCCCCCCCCCCCCCCCCCGAAAAATTTTCCCCT